CACACCAAACACTAATGAATAACTACTTCAATCCTAATCCAGTGTACAAAGAAGATGATTTTAGACCAAGAACTGGTAGGATCCCATAGAGGAATACATGCATCGTCATAGGTCGATACGCTCTCCTACCGTAAACAACAACCTACAAGAGGATCATGTTGCACATCTTTGGGCCAAATGCGCACTAGAATGATCAGCGACCTTGTGACATTATTAGCTAGTCTTTTGTGTTTGCAACTAATAATAATTGATAATACATTGCCATGTTCAAGTCCTCGTCTTGTTTTAAAAACAACTTTAGTGTTTGTAACTAATAATAATTTGACAATACATTGTCATGTTCAAGTTTTCTTCTTGTTTTAAAAACAACTTTGGTGTTTGTAACTAATAATAATTGACAATACATTGTCATGTTCAAGTCTTTGTCTTATTTTAAAAACAACTTAAAATTTGATTTAAATAGAAAAAGATGGAGGATAGTTTGTAAAAGAATGAAGAGATTGTGAGAAATTATGTAAAATGATGAAATTGAGGAAGGATAATATGTAAAATGATAAAGATGTTGAGAGAAATTATGCAAGAATGAGGTAGGTATTTATACAAAAACAAAATTCGGGTTATAAAAAAAAAAACAAAAAAAGATGGTTGATGTCATCTAACGGCTAGGTGACATCAGCTAGGCCCCATCCAAATATTTAGCCTAGGCTGGCCAAAGGCCCACATGTGGCCCTCAATTTAGGAATTGGCCATTTGTGTTGCCCTCCCTTTTTTTTGTAGCCCTTTGTGTAACCCTCACTTGGAGATGATTTTCGGGGATTTGTTGTTATGTAAACTCGCAATTGCATGAGCCAATTAGTAGTACAGCAAGACAAGTACGAGGTCATACCCATGAGGACTGAGAGGTTAAACTTAGTTATGTACTTAGATTACCGAATTCAAGAAAGTAGAAAGTTAAGTCTAAAATAGAATTTAAAGTGAGAGTGATTGTGATTGTCAAAACAAATGAAGCAAAATGAAATTGCAAACAAAGGCAAAGTAAGTAAATGCAACAAAGGGTGATTTTAAAGGTTGAAAAATAGATTTGGAGACTAAGGCATTCGATTCGCCATAACAATTCAATTCTATGTTATGAGGATTCAAGTGACAAGTCTAATGCAGATTCAAAGATCGATTCTAGCTAAAGTATGATTAAGCCATGGTGTCTGGTCATAACCTTGTATTCCTAATTCCCTAATTAGATCCTTGTTGTCGAACCTAAATTAAGCATTAGAAATCCATTAAGCATAGAAGAATGTTTTCAACAACCAAGTATGTATCTAATCCTTGTTATCGAATGTCCATACATACTCTTATGATTCATAGTTCAATTGGAATTAAAGCATATGGTGTCTACTCTTAATTCCAACCAAGATACACAAATCTGAATGGTAGTTAGGCATTCCAATTAGCATATAAGCAAGTAGGCATAATGAATAAGAACAATATGAATCATGAATCAAACTTGAAACTTGAAATTTATAAAACTGAATATTCATGTTAGGTTACATCGAAGCCCTAATTATAGATTTAGCTACTCATAATGGGAAAGAAACTTAAACAGAAATGAGAAAACATAATGAATGCAATAGAGTAGAAAACCCCTTTTCTGAAGTTCTTGTGGTGTCCAATGCTTCTCCAAGAGCTTTCCCACATTTAGAAGGCTGTATGAAGGTTAAGGAGGTGATTTGGGATGAGTTTGGGTGAGTGGTGATGGCTGAGAAAGAGGAAATTCGTAGGGAAATAGAGAAGAGGCTTGTTGGGACAGTTTTGGTTATTTGGGGTTGTTTAGAGCTTTGGGTTGATTGTTGGATTGTTTAGGGTTGTGGGAGTGTTTAAGGGTGATTTCTGAATGTGTTTAAGAAATGATGGGAGTGTGGAGGATGGATGAATTGTGGGAGTGTGAATCCCACAATGTGTGTCTTCTTTTGGTGTGGGATGGATGTGGTATTTATAGGGAGAATGAAAGGAGAATTCTTAATTAATTTATGCCTTCACCAACAACACCAATGCAATAGAAAATCAGTTTCTTTTCTTATTTTGCTGCAGCACTTCACCAACAAATCCCACCAGAAACCATAGCTCATGCATAGCTCATCATGACCAAGCAACAATCAGCTCATCCTTAGCTCAGCATGACTAGTAACTTCATGGGCTCACGATTTGGGCTTCCCTTAAGCAACTGATGACGTTGAGCCATCCATCTTGAAGTTCATAATGTCATATTTCCAACTACATGCCATTTGGCCCAATCCAAGGTCAGATGAAGATGTTAAAGCGAAAACGAATTGCTAACTCAGTTTGCACATTTTTGCACTATTTTGCATCTTTTCCTATCCAAAGCCACCATTGCTACTTTAAGCTCAATGAACTGAATTATAAACACAAAAGAGATTAAAAGCACAAGTTTAACTCAAAAACATAATGAAATCATAAGCTAGAAGGGTACAGAATGATATACAATTATGAGACGATCATGATTTAGGGCTATAATTTAGGAATTGGCCTTCTCCAGTCATAAGGTTAAATGTAGTTCAGGGCTATAAATTTAGCCCTCCAAAATATTAATTTTTTAAAGAATAGTGTAGGGCTAAATTTTTCCATCCCTAGCCATGCAGGGCTACATTTTAGAATTTAATATACATTTAAAATGTAAAAAGAGAGGAAAAAAAAATGGTAATGTTTCAAATCCAATATATATACAGTCCCCTTCTATTTGAGGGACACCATTTAGGGTACCCTACGAATTTCTTCCCAACGATCCAAACCATCTAACTTTTAAGTCTACATTCATAGATCATCCTTGCAAAAAAATTAGACAAATCGAAAACCGTTTCAATATCCAATTGTATCCTACAAAATCAATGAACACGGTGCTTCAAGAAAGTACTAAAATTTCAATAACACAATTGAGTGGTCAAACGATATCGGATTCAAGTGATTTTTTGTAGAGATGATCTTTGAATGATTATCTAAAACATAGACCGTTTGGATTAGTGAAATACAATGCGGAGTGGGACAAAACAAATTTTAATACATTTAAAAAGGTTAAAAGGAAAAGAAAACTAATGGCTAGCTGATGTCATCGCTAACGTCACTGCACCTTTAATATTAGCCTTTGGATATGCAATTGCACGAGATGTTCTGTGCTCACGCCCACAAAAAAATTTGGCATAGGCTATAGCTAGGCTGCAAGTAGCCTGGTTGAAGGGCTAGCCCATGGATGGAGATGGATTTTGCATTATTTTATGGCTATATTTGGCTTATGGCCAATGTCTAAAATATCGATAGTCCAAAAACACAGATATTTCGATTGAAATATCGGAAAATTATCAATATTGATAAATTGAATAAAAACCATAGAAATTGTAAGAAAAACTTGGAAATTTTTCTTAAAACTTTGGTACGAACGCCCAAACACAAAGTCATTCTTTCTTTCTTCACCACCTACCTAAAAAAATATGCAATTGTATAATATAATATAATATTCAATTAATTGTTGGCACTTACAGAGTTGAACTAAGAAGGGAAGGAAAGGAAAGGAAAGGAAAGGAAAGGAAGGATGCCAAGTCCAAGCTGCAAGTGTGAGAGAGAGAGAGAGAGAGAGAGAGAGAGAGAGAGAGATTTAATTATATATATTGAAAAGGAAGGCATTTAGTCAATTATCTATTACTTTAACATAAAAAAAATTGGAAGGAAATGCATTGTATGATGGATTTAACTTATTTAAGTTGATTATATAGCGAGCTAACAAACAATAACACCCCTTGAGGTTTTCGGCTTTTTCACAAAACTCCTTGAGGTTTTGAAAATTACAAGAACGCCCCCCTAAGGTTTTAAATTGTTTTAACAAAACTCATTTTCATTGATTTTCATCTAAAGATTTTTGATGATTTTATACAAAAAAATTCTCTAAATGACAAAGTTGGCCTTTGAGATTAGATTGCATATACTTCATTGATGTTAATTTTGAAATTTGTATAAGTTTTTTTTTCAATAAAATCATTAATTTTTGGACAAACAATGAACAAAAAGGGGTTTTGTGAAAACAAACTGAAACCTTAGGGGGTGTTAGCGTAATTTTTTAGACATGAGGGGGGTTTTATGAAAACACAAGAAACCTCAGTGGGTGTTAGTGTAAATAACTCTTCAAACTTTTCACTGTCTTCATCAAGGGCGGAACCAAGAATTTTTCGGTGGGTGGGCTAGTTAAAATTTAATGATATTTTTACCTTTGCAATTTGAATACATTAAAATTTCTTGACATCAACCGAATAAACTTCTAAAATATCAAGTGCAAAAATATAAATAATTATGTTTCACATATAAATAATTAGTTGTAAACACAAGAACAATATAATTAGGTTAACGTATTGTTCATTCTTGAAAGAGAATGCAAGTAAATTTGAAAAAATAATATGTCTCTAATGTGTTGTAGTTGATGGTGAGCCATATAAGTTTTTTTTTCCTTCTTAAAAAATCTTTTGCCACAAGCAGCAAATAAAGAAAAAAAGACAGCAGACTTTGAGAAAAAACAAAACAAAAGGCAATAGATTTTGCAAAGGAAAAAACCAAAAGGCATGACACTTGTGGTTTATTACTAGTTTTTCTTCAAAACTTACTGGGCTATAGCATACCACAGCCTTGGCTGTGGTTTCGCCCCTAGTCTTCATCATCTCGATATTATTGATATTATCGATATTATAATGATATTATAACGATATTTTGGTCAAATGTTGTTGAAATGTGAGAGAAATTATCGACGTCGATATTTTTCGATATTATCAATACTTATATAATATGTGTATGGATATCTTCCAAAATATCATATACCCGTAAAAACGATAATATCCTCAATATTTCATTGATATTATCAATATTTTAGTCCTTACTTATAGTCTATGACTGGAGATGGTCTTACCTTGTATTAAAATAATAATAAAAAGTAGACAAAAGCCTTCTTGCTCTCTCCATCACCACCATCCCGCGCTTATTCAAAGCGGAAGCGACATAACCAAACGGACTTCACTATCCGAGTGGAGTGGGTGGGTTCCCATACTCTGTTCGTTTGCAGTTCCTCCCATTTCCCAAATGTCGGAGCCAATCATTCTCTCCGACGAAGAAGACCAGAATGCCCTCTCAACCCCTTTCCAACCATTCCACTGTAAGAAACGCCGAACCCAACTGGACCCAAACCCAATCCCTACGGTTCTGGTCCTCGACGACGACCCGACCCCACAGAAGCAGCCCGGCCCCATCTCCACTCCTGACTTCGTCCCGGAGACCCCCATGTCTGATCTCGCAATTGTGAAATGCACCAAAGCCCCTTCCCACTTCCAAGCTAGGGTTTCAGACTCCGAGCACAAGTTCCCTGGTTGGTTGATTTGTGTTATTTCACCGATTTGAGTGCTTTTGGAAATTCTTATTTGCTATATTTTGTTTTTGTTTGAATTAATTATTTATGCATTGCTTGTTATATTATGATAATTTTTACGTCTTTTTGGTTAAACTTGATTCTATTCAAGGTTTTGTTTGTTTGTTTGTCTTTATCATCAATACTGTTCTTCTGTATGTTGAATCAGTTGTTTAGTGTTTTGCTTCAAGTTATTTGTGTGTGCGTATTAAGTGTTTTGGCATTACAGTTCTGTTACGATCAATTGGAATATAGGTTCGACGATCACTTGGCATTATAGTTTTGAGTTCCATTTATCTGTTCTTCAAAATTTTAGTATTAAGCCCTAATGCTCAACTGTGAAATCCCTAAATTTGAGTAGACGGGAATTGGGAGATGGGTCAGTGACTGAAGATGATGGAAAAATTGAGGAAGAAGTAATCAGCTTTTATAAAAGGGTTTATACAAAAGAAGAAAACACAACTTGGTTAGAGAGACCTTTTCAGGACGATGAGATGATGAAGGCAATTTGGGACTGCTGCAAGGATTAGTCACCCGGTCCTGATGGTATTTCTATAGCAGTTTATCCAGTGTTACGCTGTGTTGATGGTGGACTTGATGAAGTTTTTGAGGAATTTTATAGAAGTGGGGTTGTCAATGAGATCACTAATGAAACATACATTTGCCTTATTCCAAAGAAAGCGGATGCATGCAAGTTTGGAAAGGTTTTGCATCAAGCTTGTACAAGATTATCTTGAAGGTTTTGGCTCTGAGATTGAAGCAAGTATTAGAGGATACAATTTCCTTCTGGTCAAGGAGCTTTTGTTAAAGGAAGGCAGATATCAGAGGTGGTCCTACTGAATATGTAATGGTGGAGGAAGTGAGAAAGTAGAAAGAAGGGCTAGTCTTTAAATTAATTTCCAAAAAGTGGATGTACACAAGTTTTGAAAGGTTTGGCATCAAGCTTGTACAAGATTATCTCGAAGGTTTTGGCTCTGAGATTGAAGGAAGTATTAAAGGATACAATTTCCTTCTATTCAAGGAGCTTAGGTTAAAGAAAGGCAGATATCAGAGGTGGTCCTAATGAATATGTAGTGGTGGAGGAAGTGAGAAAGTAGAAAGAAGGGCTAGTCTTTATGTTGATTTCAAAAAAGCTTACGACCAAGTGGATTTGAATTTTTTGCATTTTGTGTTGGGGAAAAAAGGTTTTGGGAGTTTGGAGGAAGTGAATGAAGACTGTATGAAATTTGTTAGTTTTTCTGTAATTATTTTCGTTTAGTTGCTGACATTTTGAGCGTTAATGTTGAAATCTTTGTTTAGTTTGCAATATTAAACATAAATATATATATATATAATTTTTTTTTTCACAGCCATACAGCTCAGCGTTAACTTTGACCTTACTGGCCTTTTGTTTACATTCAGGTGTTAATGGACTGATATGTTTGGAATCTGATAATGAGCCTGAAAGTGGTCATGCAAGGAAAAAGGGGAAGGAGATTGAATCCATCGTTAGTGGGTGTGATGTGGTGAAGGACTTAGATTGGAGGTTTAGTTTTGTCGAGTCCACATGTTCTCTTGGTATGTTTATGTTGTATTTGGCATTCCTTTGGTTAAGGTTGGGTGTTTGCCTTTATTTATTATTTTTGAATTTGAGAATATTTAACAAATGATCCACTCCCTGGAATATGTTATCCATTTAATTGGACTCATTAAATACATGTTTATCAGGAGATGCTGAGCTAGCACATATGTCTGAAGGGAATTTTTCACTATCTACTTTGCAAGATGATATTGATCAGGTATTTTGTCCCAATGCATTGTGGTAATTTCCTCTTTTTTTCTTTTATTTAAGGATTATCTATTTTGTGGCTGTGGACAAGAAACACCTGTGGCTTCTATTCCCAGTTAGGGTCAGAGGTTATAATTTCTATATGTGCAATTGACATTCTGGTCTTTCATGTTTAATAATTATGCTTCATAATTCAGAGACATGCTTCTAGTTACAAGTGTGTTTTATTTTGTTAATTTCTATAAGGGGCATTGCATTTTCTAGAATTTAGGCATTACATGGTTCCAAACAGTACCAACTTGAAACATTACTCCTCAAGTACCTAGTTATCTTTTACTTATCCAAAACTTGATGAGTTTTAAATTATTCTGATTTGGATGTGAAGTATTGAGGAAGACATTTCAGATAGGACTAATGAAAGTCCAAGAAAATGTGGATTGCAATGGATGTTGTGGAAGTCTTTATAAAAAACATGGAACTTAAATTATATTTTCCTTTGGTAGTTTTGTATATAAATGAGTACATAATTTTTTTTTTAAATAAGTAAAAAAATATTAATAACCTTCTAAAAACACAACACGTACCAGTGAAGAAAAAAGGTTGTGGACATGTTGTCCACTGCATACAAGATAATAAGCACAGCCCGCCAATCTGCAAGGATAACAGCGAGCTAAATCCCAAAACTCAGGAGAAACCAATGCACCATAGTGAAGTTGAAAATCTTACTCTATTCAAAGAATCTCTTTCCCCTAATCTCTATAATTTTAAAACATTCTATTGCTTCTTTCCAACCAAATCACCCATAGCTTCCAACACCTCACAGTTTTAGATCATCTTTGCTCTTTTCCTCCCTCAATCTGGTGGAATAACCCAGCTCAGTTCTGCCTCCTTAAACAATCTCCTCTACAAATTTACAGCATCATGAGAACAAGTTTCTAGATCCTCTGCATTTCTGTTTACCAATCAAGAAAAATGTTCTCTGTACTTTATGATTTCATCAACCGTAGCTGAAGTTTTTCTATATGCTATTTTGCTTATAACATATTGACATTAACAGTCCAACTGTAGTACCAGTCTTGTAGTATAGCAATCATCTGGTTATGTCTAATTTCCCTTCTCCCACTTTTTCTCGCACTCGATTGTCTAAACTTAAAATGCATAATAGTTGGGAAAATCAAGCTATTTGTGGACAGTTTTCTGTTGTTTGTCATTCTTTTCCTGCGGGCATTTGCTCTCTGAATTCAATTATTATATGTGTATTCATGAGACCCCGTAATGTTTCACTTCTTTATGTGCTCATTTTTAAGGAAGGTGTGGTGTGGTGTTGATGAGGACATCACTTTTTAATTTCTGCTATTTCACACATCCAAATCCTCAAATGCAATGTCATGATGAGATTAGGTACTTGATTATCCAGAAAATAGAATGGATCAGATGGGAAACATTATGAAGCAGAGAAGGACAACAGCTATTACTGATAATGAAAACATTACAAAAGAAGCAACAGGAAGAAGGAAGCTGACAAAAGAGGAAAGAACGCGCTTAATGGAAGAAAAGAAGCTAAAGAAGATAGTAAGTTCTTCTTATGATCAGTACTGCATTTTTTCTAACAGAACAATAAGCTGATTGATATCCATGAAAAACAGCAAGAGAAATTGCAAAGAGAAGCTCTGAAAGCTGAAGCAGCAGAGTTGAAAAAAATACAGAAAGAAAAGCAAAAGTGGGAAAAAGGGAAGTTTGCCCTAAAATCCATCGTGGCCGAGATTGATTCTAAAGTAGTGGAGTTGGGGTCAGTTGGAGGTGTGGTGTCATTGCTTTTTTTCTCTTGAAGTACTTCGCATGTGTATGTGTCTCATATCCGTTTATATCTGGTAGCTGAGAACTTATTTGAACTTTATTGTAGGAAATTTGCTTACAAGGTTTGCTGAAAAGGGGCTAACATACCGTATAACATCAAATCCAATTGAAAGATCAATTGTCTGGACCATGACTGTCCCAGAACATATTTCACAGGTAATTGGTGTATGGAATGGATGATTTTCTGTATGCATCATCATATCATCTCAGACACTAGTAGTTTTCACAATAGGAAAATTGGCTGGAATTTAAAAATAAAAATAAATTCCGTATGGTTGAACATTATCAGCCTTTGTGCCCTAGTGGATCATAAGATTAGGTCAATTCATTAATTTTATAAAAATAGAAACCATAAAGTTAAAGGTTTATTGTGGGTGTATGTGTGGGTGGAAGGCTCATTATCAAAGGACCATGATGTAAAATGATTGATTGCTATTGTGTTGCATCTTCATGGTTTATTTGAAGATCTTTCTTTAAGGATTTCATGAACATCAGCCTCACAGATCAATATACTTTACATCTCACTATCTCAGAGGCATGCCTGGCATAACCACTAACCATTAGTGTCTCTTGTTGGAATATATGAAAAACATATTAATTTCTCTGCGAAGTAAATGAATTAGAATTTATTTTTGTGCATCTGTTGCTTCTTTGTATCTGCTGTAATTTTTTTTTTCACATAGATTAACCTCAATATCTAATTGCAGCTTTCTCCTGAAGAAATAGAGATTCAATATATAGTGCTCGTGTATGAAGCTGAAGAGTTTTGTAACCTTGTCATCAATGAATCTCTTTTGGATAATGTTTTTAGTGTTCGAAGTCGTTATCCATCATATACAGTGTGTTATCTTACAAATAGGTTGATGGCATACGTTAATAAAAGGTGAGGTTGCTGAAGATCCAAGGTTACCATTGTGCATCTGTAGCTCATTTACTTAGCTAAAGATATGCATTGTATCTTGTATTGAAATTTTTTTGCTGCCATTTGACTTATTTCATCTTCTGAGAGTGTTATATGTTAAATCTTTGAGGTATGCTGCATAATGGTTAACACAATTTAGATAAACATAGTTGATTACGTAGCTAAAAGCTTGCATGTTCTTTTTCCTTTCAGTAAGTAATTAGAATTTTATTCAAATAGGAGCAAGTGATAAGTAATTGGAACAGATTAATATAAAAGTCAAGCTTTGTTATCTGCCTGTTAAACAGATGGAGCTTATGCAATGTTCAATAAAATGTATAGGCTTGTTGAGTATTATTGATTGATTATAAATACCTGTTGAACCAGTGTTTTGTTATATTGTAGAATATCACATGAAGAAAACTACTGTATGATGTAAAAAAAAAAAAAAAAATTGTCATTCAGTTCAGCGTACTTTTGATATGAACGATAGAATGTTTAGCTTTATGAGTGACATATACCTAACATTTACTCATTTGTGTTATCCGTAGAAAATCTTGAATGTGTTTTTGACATGCAACGGTATTTTCTCAGATTTTGTCGGAAATAAGTTTATCTTTTTTATCTTTCATTGTATAAAATTTACAGTTTGTGATGACCTGCCAATTGCTATCTTTATTTTCTGCTCTACTATAATATGCTAGTATGGGTTTGTGCATACTGAAGATCTGCATCACATTGATTTTTTTACAATGTTAGGGAACAAGAGCTGTACAAGAACCCAACAAATCATAGCGGCCGGAGACGCCCACCTGTTGAGGAGGTTGAACTACTAACATTAAAATACTTGGGATTGCAAGACATTAACGCTTTTTGGCCGTTCATATATGTCTTGCAGAACAGTGGATCTTTAATTGTTTAGTGTCCTGACTTCTTTCCTTTTTAACAGGCGCTCGCAAAATTGACCACTAATTTTTTTAAAGTACACTCCAGGCAGTGCATAGATGAGGCTGAACTTGCTGAACATGTTGTTGGTTTAACATGCAGCCTGTCATCCTGCCAATTTAGGTATTTGTTGATTTTACTTTTCTAAACCTTATACATGCTTATACATTATGCACTTTCATTTTCTTTAAAAAGTTCTGTCTGAGGATCACATAGCTTACTCATGTTTCAAACTTCCAAATTATTTTTTCGTTTTATTTTATATTACCTAGAAAATAATAGTTCTGTCATTTGGTACAGTTATTTTTTTCATTGTAAAACGACAAATGCTCTCTCTTTCCATCGGAATTTTCACATTTTAACTGGTTGATATTTTGATTCTACCTTTTGCTTTATGAAATTGCAGAAAGAAGTTAACGAGACTGGATGTAAATGCTAATGGATCCCTTATCCCTAAGGACTGCCTTGACCGAAATTTAATTAAAAAGAGCCCATGGTGAGTAGCATGATGTTAACAGATTGATCATCTAGAATTAGAAGATAACAAGATAGCAGATTCAGAAGGCAGAAGTCTGGATTGTGATTAAAAATTAAAGATGTGACTTTGTATGATGAATGTAGCAACCAGTGATAACGTGAAGCCTACTTTTAGGGGTCTGAACTGCTTAGGGCCTGTTTGGGACACTTCTACTTGCTGGAAGCACTTTTGTTAGAAGCACATCAAAAATTTTATTGAAAATCCAATTGCTTCCTGGAAATGTCTGGAAGTGCTTCCCTTAACTATTCTGTTATACACGGCCAAAAACACTTTTGGTTTTGTGATTTCGCTTTTAGCCCTTCTAAAAGCACTGTCAAATAGACCCTTAATTATTGTTCCCAGCACCAAAAGTAATGCATCATTTTAGAGTGTACAGATTTTATTCATCTCCTATGGTTGTTATGATGGTGGTTCTACTTATGTCATTTGATATACTTTCTTATTTCCTCAAGGGGATATAGTATCTTTGAATTCACTTTCTGGTGTTAAAGACTTGTGATCTAGGTGTTGTGACCCTCTTGCAGGTCTAGATATAGGCCGATGAGGTTGCTCTATCTCCTTTTGAGGACGGTTTGATCGGACAGAAAGGAGAAGAGGAACCATGATGAAAGTGAGAGGATAGAGAAACCTGCAAGCCTAATTGTCTAGTTAGTTGGGACTAATCCCCCTTCCTCCAAGCCCTCCAACCATTGCCCCCACAAAATTGGACCATGGCCTTCCGAATTCAAACTGGATTTCTGGAATTCTAGGAATATTGATGACTTTAATTTTAATTAATTTCCCAAACACCAGCATGCAACAGTTTACTTGGTCTTTTTTTTTTTTTTTTTTCCTATTAGTGTTCTCAACTAATGAATGCCAAAGCAATTTTGGTAGACACTAGGTAAAACATTTTGTTGAACAAGCCTTCTCTGTACAAACTAATATGATTTGTATGTTTTTCGTAAGTTTATCCATTTTATACGTGAGTACTTTATGTTTGTTCCTAATATCTGCATCCAGGTTAAAAGCTTTGGTAGCTATCCCTAAGGTACAGCCACGATTTGCTATTGCTATATGGAAGAAGTACCCTACCATGAAATCTCTTTTGAGTATTTACATGGACCCAAATATATCAGTAAGTATAGTACGCCTTTTTCTGAGTGTGTACATGGATCCAAATGTATTAATAAGTATGGGCTTCAAGCTCTCCGGATTTTAGGGGCACTCCTTTTTTAAGAACTTTTTTTTTGTTCAAATTGGACTGCAGTTGTTTATTAGAGTTCTTTTGTTTCTTTACTGGTTCTATGCTATTTTTAAGGTTTTGATGCTGTTTTACAGGTCCCTAGTTCTTTGCTCCTGTGGACATGTTGTCTATTGTTTTGTGCTGTTGCTCTCTTGTTAATGAAATTTTGTTTCCTATCAACAAAATAAATAAAAATTGTGGACCGATACCTTAGTAAGCAAGTTAAAGTTTTGAACATAGCCTCACCCATTGGTCTTGTAGGAGTCTTGGGCTTGTTTGGAAGATGGAATCTGTAATTTTGGGTTACATCTGGCTACTAGTCTGTTTTGGGAAATAAAGAGAGATTAAGAAATGCAATCGAACTCCCAAGTTCTGAAAGGAATTAATAGTCACTATCCTCTTGGTTAAAACATTTCAAGGAGGAAGGGGGAGCAATTGGCGATAGAGTTAGACTGCTTGCTTCTCTCTGGGCATCTCTGTCAAAACCTTTTAAGAACATTCCTTTCAGAATAATCATTTTTTATCCCGAGGGGGGAGGGGGGAGGGGGGAGTTTTGTACTGAGGGCTTACTGGATTACGGTTGATTGACTTCTGTTTCAGGTGTATTGACTGGGTTAGAGTGTTTTAACTGTTGTTTTAAGTGTCTGATGGACCACTCTTCCATGTTTCTTATTGTTCCTTTTGATTTTAACTCTGTAAAACATGTATTTCTAATAAAGTAAAAATTGGATGGGTTTTCTGCTTCTTGAATAACCATGTATAGTTTGTGTAATGCATATGACAACTGAATAACATGTTTTGTTAGTGATATATATCTGCTCGAGAAGTAATTAGAATACAACCATGAAATTCCAATAGAAATGGATTTTGATTATTGTATGGCCATTGTTCTATGCCATTTTGAACATAATTGCTTTAATTGTCTCTTAAAAACAGAAAGAAAAAAAAAAGGAAATTGCTTTGATTGAGTTCATTGAGAAAACAATTTGGAGGTTAAGTCGCCATGTATAGTTGGTTGAAATATACCGACTCGCATGCTTATTGCTTATGCAATATATGTTGATATTGTTACAAGATGAGCAGCTTGCAATATATGTTGATATTGTTAAAAGATGAGCAGCATGCACATGCCTTTCAGTCTGCTTCATCAGTTTGAGTAAAACAATGAATTTTTTGTTCTATTTTCTTTTCTCTGCAGGTTCATGAAAAGGAATTTCTGCTGAAGGACTTGACAACGGAAGGTTTACTTGGTGATGATAGAAGATTAGGTGAAGTTTGTTCCAAGAGAGTGTACAGAATACTTATGGCACAAAGTGGATGCATCAAAACTGATGATGTCGAGGATGGTGCTGATTTCTTCAGGCGTTAAATTTCACTTATATGGGCAAAATCAGGTGCGCATATGCTTCTTCCTCTTCATCTAAAAATTTATTCTGCATTAGAGCCATTTCTTTTTGTTCTTTCTGTGTCAAATACAACTATTCAATTAATTTCCTCTTTTGTCCCTTTTTGTTAGTAAAGCAGCAAATATTTTACTTGGATGATGAGTTAAGTTTTATAAAAGGTCAATTACAAAATGCAGACCTGATTTATAGGTCGATTTCAATTTAGCACCCGATCTATAAATTCATTCAATCTACACCTTCCATCACTCTGTGCAGATGTTGCTATTTTACTCTGTTCTTGTTATTGCTTCTGCTTCATCAAGATCGTACATAGAAGTTTGGAACTGTGTCTAGAGTGGAAGGTCACTTTTCCTACCATGTTTTTCTTACTGTGCTGCAAATTGGAATCCGTGTGAGATTTGAGTGTTTTTTTTTAAACCCTAAATAAATTATTATTCTAAAATGCCAAGGTGTCTAGCCGAGTGGAAAAGGCTCAGGTTCAAATACCATGACACATTGGCAATGTGTGCGTAAGAAAACCCCCCTTTCTCTTCCTAACTTTGGTAAAAAAATAATAATAATATAAAAGAAAAAGTAAAAAATAAAAGATAAATTTTAAAATTCTAAAATGAAATTGGGCCTTGTGGGCTTCACAACCTTATGAAAATTATGGTGGGCCATTCAACTCCTTTCCACACCAATATTGGTGGGTTCACTCCTCCACTAAGCCAACCCCACACACATTGCCCCTACCACTACTAATTGATACCCAAATGATACATCAGTAGTGGGTTATCCTATTGAACAGTAAAACAGGTCCACCACCATCTTGGTCCACGTGTACTCTCTCTCTCTCTCTCTCTCCCTCTCTCTCTCATGATTCCATTTCATATAACGAGGAAAGCACAGTACCTACTCCACCTATGGTGTCACCAAACTTCTCCACTAAGAAAAAAAAATGTCTACTTTGTTGTGTATAATTATTTGCCTCCTAATTGCACCTTGTATACTGCTTTCTTATTATGATAATTTTGTTTTAAATTTCAGTATTTAGTACTTGTATTGGATGCTATAAAAGACATCATTTACATTAGAAAGATAATTAAATACAAATCTACAAAAACTTAGTTTTGAGTATAAGCACAATTGGGAAAATTTAGAGCATCCGAGTTTAATTGATTTTGTGGGTGGCAAATGCTCATTGCTCATAAATTACATAGCATATTCCGTATGAAATTATCTAAGCAACTGCCCTGAGTAGTATTATTAATTGTCTGCCACCATATCCAAACTTAGATTTTGTCCTGCGCACAATTCCCAATAATTCAATTCTTTAATCATCAAAGGCATCTCATGGCCCATGCATACCGCACTTGGTTATTTGGGTTGCTATTCTGAGTTTCTCACACCGCATATATATTTGGAACTGAAAGGTACTCTTGTAAGGCCTCCCTCTCCCTGAGCAAGTTCTGAAATGGAGAAGAGCAAATCATTTTCCGGCTACTACTCGACCGGCTACACAGAAGCCCGGTTTGGGTTTGAGGACCGGTCGAAATCATACAGCTTCAATGGTCCGGTCAGCTGCAGCAAGGTAGATGAGTTGTCTTCAACATCTGGCAATCCAGAGCTGGAGAGAAGGAAGAGGGTGGCAAGCTACAACATGTATGCTGTGGAAGGTAAGTTCAAGTCGTCGTTGCGCAACAGTTTCAAATGGATCAAGGGCAAGTTTGTTGACAACTTCTACGATGAGTAGTGAACTAAACCGAATCCTTTTACTTTTTTATTTTCTTGTCAAAGTCAAGCAAGGTTCCAATTACTGTATAGTTTGTTTAAGCTAAATGGGTGAAAATATGAACTTAAAACATTGTTTGTCAAGACCTGGTTAATTTGTAACGAATTTCTTGGGATTGAATCCAATGATTGATATGTAAAATGGTTTTGACTACTCTTGAATTAAGCTGCTCTTGCAGAGGAACATGCTTCTTTTCCGTTGCTATCTGTTTCTTTTTCTGTATTTTAAGCCTAGCCTTATATTTATTTATTTATCCAGATGTATAATTGTTTGTCTTCTATGGTTATTGATGCTTTAGGTTATCATATCACAATATCACACAAACCTAATCATCTGTGATATTAGCTTCTACTTTACGGTACTATATCTAAAATTACAACAATTACCAACAGATGTGTGGGATTCAGTCCTTTAGGATTGGACAACTTACTTTCAATACCCTTTAGTCTTACTTCATTCTTCATCAACTAGAACCTCCGCTATGTTAGGGTAGGTTTTCAATTCCTTTCATTCCGAATTTCCTATAACTTCTATGCCAAACAAAAGAAGAAAAACAGTCCTTACCTTCTCTAGATTTAGCAAATAGTCCTTCATTAAACCTACAAATGAAAGAGCACTATAGGGGGCATGCACACAGCCGAAGTCCTTTTAAAGTACGAACGATTATTATTCAATCTAAGATAGCTTGAGTAAAATCACCAAGTAAACCCTGCACAAGACAACAATCAGATTATCTGAGGGAAATCGGTATGCTACCAGTCAAAAACCTTGTGGCTCTAAAATCATATCAGAATTTTAACAGTTAATTCAACAGAGTTTTCTTTGTATAAGGACAAGTGTCAATCCCATGTGAAGGGAGAAGGTGACCTATTTGTAAGGTTTCTTGGGGTCCAAGGTAATATTAAACATAGGGCATACAGAGAACCAAGTCCACCAACTCTTAGCGTTGGTGGCGGCCCCAGGAAAATTGGGGTTTCCTGTTAGTTTAGAGGATTGAGAAGAAACAAAAAGTATGCGTATATTGATATTTCAAACGAAGCAATTAAGGAAGCGATTAGTGAAGGTGATCTGGGTCATGATTGAGGATGAATGAGGTTGGGTTGGAGCTAATTAATGCTTGATGGAGAGACTTAAGGCATGATGGAGGCATGAATCTACTGGCTGCCTTCAAAATTCTTCAGCAGCTCCTATGTCGGATTCTTTATGGACTTTTCTGATGCAAGCATTGGCATAAAATCCTCTGCCAATTATTTTGGAGTGTGTTTTGGGTTTAAGGGTTAAGCATTTTGGCCCCTCCCATGATTCTTGTCTTCATTTGTTGAGATTTATTGAATTTTTCTCCTTCACCAAGGATTTTTTTGGTCTACCAGAGATACCAGGCTAACTTTCCCTCTTTGTATTTTTATATTATTATTATATTTTTTTCTTAGCTTGGGTTAGCATGCCGTACTTTCTTTAGTGCCTCCGCTTGTACCCAGTTGAAGCTTCCGATACATTTGGCGCCTAATGGTCTTTCAACTTACTGCAGTCAAATCCCGGCCACATTGTTCAAACTCAGACCGAAGTCTAACATCAAATTCGACCACTGCTTCCAAATTTAACTTGCCTCTCTGGCTCACCCCTGATGGTATGGTATCCGGGACAAATCTAGAACAAACACATGTAAAGTACTGGTACAAATTTGTTAGCAAATCATGTCTATGGTCCAATCCAACACAATTGTTTCTTGGACAAGTTTAGAATAAAAGATCATCGATATATTACTACTTCTCTGTAATCGTTAGTTCAGTGCAAAACTAACTTCCCTTATCAATGTTCCCTAGAGAATTTTGCATAAGTAATTTAGTAAAGAAAGGGTCCCAGATACAGATTTATTTATAGCACAAAATCATACAAGGGGAAAACTGAGACCGAAAACAAGTGGGGAAAAGAATTATAAGCTTCTAGGCCAGGACTAGAACAGCTTGAGGTGATAAAGATTTGTTCCAATTGTCTATTCTTTGTCCAGTCCCAACAGTTATCACATCTTCTCCGGATCAAGATTTCGGAAGTCCAATGTAGAATGAGATCTGCGATAATAGGACAGTGCACTGCCTTCAGTATGGTTGATGATATCTGTTATAGAGGCATGCAAGAGGGGAAAGTCCTTGATCTTTTTAAGAACATCAGGGTTGATGTTCTTGAGAGCATTAGGATGACCCTCAGTGGTCGAGAATCGTTTTTTATGAGAACGGGTTATTGGAGAAAGAGATGCATGCAAGTTCTCAAATATGCTTGGTTTAAAACTGGAGGAAGTGCTGCTTCTTGCACTGTTGCTCCCCATCTCTTGGCCATGCATGCTTCCCATCTCTTGGCTATGCATGCTTTCCATATCATGGCTGTGCGAACTTCCCGTAGCTTGGCGGCACATGTTCGGTTCTGCATTCTTTTCCAGCAGAAACTAAAGAAAGAGAAAAGGATTTACATCATGAGCTATATATCATATACCATATAACTTCATAAATAGGAAAAGTAATTCAAAATTGAGTCTGATTAATCAAACAAAAATGCGAAACTAAGGATTTACCTTATTAGAAGATTCAAACTCTCCTCTGACCTCTTGGACCTTTCTTTGATGACGTTCACGATTTGTTTGAGACAATTGTTTTGGTTTGGAAGCCCTCCTTATATCAGATGGAAAAGCACAATTAAAGTAATTCATACATTGGGTGTGTTGACAACCCATAACATCCATTTTATATCTAAACAAGATAATTTAAATCCATTGTGGTTTTGTAGCATTTAATTGAAAGTACTTGCCACTTTCAGATTTTCTTTTGTTTTAGATTCTGGGAAAGCTTTTGTTCATTGCTTCTTTTCCTACAGTCTTTTTTTGTGAGGCTCGTTTCTGCAACGTCTCCATTACTGAAAATGAAAGTTTTTCCTCTAAATGGGACTAGAACATAATGGACAAATTTGTACTCAATTGAACACCATTTAAAAAACCTAAAAGAGCAGATTCTAAGTTTCTAACATCTTACGTAGGAAGGAAAAAGGGAATTTAAAATGCTAATGAATTGGAAAATTTAAAGGTTATCTTTGTGTTATAAAAAAGAAAGATTTTTTTTTTTGGTTACACATACAAAAGTAAGATTTCAAATGGTAAAAGTTTAATAAAAAGGGAAATTAGTAAAACATATATCTTAATTTTTCATCCAATATTTCTTCTTTCAGCCTATTATTTATTAAATAAACAAAATAATGACAGTAAATTGCATGTTATCAATTTAAATAGCATACTTCCTCCGATCCCTGGTGTGAATCCACTCATCCTCCCCTTTATACATTACCGGTAGAGCTGAAAGGTCACATGCCAACGGACTTGAACTAAAGAACTGAAAGCAGAAAGAATTTAGTATTTATAAATACATGTTGAGCAGATGTACATCAAACAATCAAAAGGAAAATACTAAAATATATCACTAAGACATCTTTCCTTTCTCATTGCGATTTCTTCACTCATTCTGCTCTTAGAGCGACCAAATTTCTGCTTAAAGGTCAAGTTGCCCGCATATACGCAGTTCATACTTGAAATTGTACTCATAAACTTTCATCCAACTCGTAAAGTAAAAGAGTAACAACATGGCATCTTAATTTTATCTCCCACAAAGAAAAATAAATTATGTATCTGGTTGCTGAAACAAATCAAAGATGACATACAACTGATAACGCTAATCCTTTTCACACAGAGAGAGAGAGAGAGAGAGAGGAGAAATTATGCTATGAATTCATCATTATACAAAGCAATGATGACCTGCTAGACATTGACCAAAAACTCTTAGTAAATTCAGAACAAATTCATGATTATGTTAATCTAACAAAACAGAGAGATTAAACCTTTCCTGTAGCACTAACTATTCAAACTCCTGATAATTTCACTGCATGAACTTCTTCAGATGCAGAGAATGGGCAAGCAAACTAAAAGAGAAGGGACTAAAAAGAAGGAATGGAAAATATTGATTACACAAAGAAAGAGCTTCCTGTTTGTACTCACGTCACTTTGGAGAGCAGAAGCAGCACTGCCACGAGATGCTGGGTACAGAGCAAGAAGTGTTGTCAAGAGATCAAATGATGATGTTGAGAAGTCCCTAAAGAATTCTTCAAAACTAGGTTTGTAATGTTGTGGTGGTCGGAAGCTTGTTGGTAGCTTCATTTTCTTCCAGTAATCATCTCCGGGTGAACCACAAAGCTTGAAGATCCTATGAAGTTGCTCAACCTGAATACACAAATGCTTAATAGACTAAAAAGTGCCACAAATAAGATGGTTATGTGCATAGGCTTACAGAAAAAGCGTATTTCAGTCATGCATAAAATCAAACCAGAATCCAGTAAAATTTATTTCCAGCATAGAAATTAAAATAAAAAATGAAACTTATGTTGAATGTACAGAAATAAACAAAAACGAAAGTGCTTATGTGAAGAAGAATACATGAAAGATGCAATTGTTTCATTTTGCAGATGCCTCTCTAATTGCTCAAGATTTTTGTAATGGTGCGATGATTCATTTGTATTACTAACTCATGTGAGAAGGCAATAGAGCTCATTTAGTTTTCCTGGAAAGTTAGAATGCACAGATAATGAAGTTCAAAGAGAATAACTCACTGTCAAAGCATTTTACCTCTGTTCTCCCAGGCATAACCGCCCTCCCAACAAACATTTCTGCCAATAGACATCCTGCACTCCAAAGATCAATACCAACTCCATAATCTGTAGAACCTAACAATAGCTCTGGCGCTCTGTACCACAGTGTCACAACTCGGCTCGTAAGAGGGCGTTTTTTGGGAGGGAAAAAATTTGCAAGCCCAAAATCTGCAATTTTGAGCATCCCACTTTTGTCTATTAGCAAGTTGGAAGCTTTAATGTCTCTGTGTAGAATCCCATTCTCATGGCAGTGCTGGAGACCAGCAAGCAGCTGCTGCATATAGCACTTCACCTGTACAGAAAGCACCCAAATCAGTCTGATTAAGTTCACGGACACCTAAAATAGAAATAAGCTACAAAAGAACCTCTCTTTTCTCCCTAATAAAAGACCCTCGCCCCGCTTCCTATTCATTTATGTGTGAGGATGGGAAGGCCCTGTTTCTTTTCTTAAGAGGTGATTCCTTGAATTGAGTTTGCAACAATTAGGAATTGAGTTACAAAGTTCAAATAAGTGCTTACAATTTTGCAAAGTTTCCAATGACACAGGAGTATTCTTTATCATTTGCAACCTTCATTGTTTCCCACTCCAAAGTTAATTATAGGACTTTCCTGGCCTTATCATGACCTATTCGTGATTAGTTCATGAATTTCACACCTTTCTCAGCAGAATATTACACAAAATTTGAGTTCATCCTTATATTCCCAATACCTACATATGAGAGTTTTTAATTAGCTCTAAGGATGACGAAGAAAAATGCCAACCTGCGGTTCAGTGAGCCTCTGTCCAGGACGTGAGACTACTCTGGTCAAGTCGGACTGCATGAAATCAAAGACCAGATATAGACTGTACTGCATCCTTGATGTAGCTATCCCTTCAAGCTTTATGATATTGGGATGATCTAGCTTCTGTAGCATTGTTATCTCCCTCGCCATAAACTTGACACTCTCTGGCTCTGATGTGTCAAAGCGGACCTTTTTCAAAGCTACAATCTTTTTGGTTTCCCTGTCACGAGCTTTGTACACATTGCTGTAGGTTCCCTGGCCAATCTGCAAAAACCAAATATCGAAGCCCAATTCAGGTATTGTGATGCTCTTGTCCTCCAAGAAAGGCAAACAACCTTATGGCACCACTTATTTACCCACCCAACCCCCTCTTTTTCATCTATCACCGGAAGCCGCAGTTTGAATCTTTGGGCAAAACAGGGATAGAGAAAGGATGATGATAGAAAATGTTAAAAAATTGAGCAAAACAAGGGTAGAGGAAGGAAGATGACAGAAATGATAAATAAAGGAAGCTATTCTAGCACGTCAAGTTCCTTCCATTCATACACTCCAGGATACAAAGAACCTTCAAGTAAAAGGTTTAGGAATTCAAAGAGCACCCCCCAAACTCAAAGTACAGGCTTTGAATGTATCAAAATTACAAGTCCACAATAAAGAAGCAATTAAACATAAAATGTGTCAGATGTCAGAACAATGAAAACTCATTTAAACTTATTCATGTCTATCCATCCAGGGAGCAAGGATGACAAGGGTACTCAGCATATACCAAACACTAAGACAAGTGTAAGACATTGGATAATGTCATTGCTCATAATTAAAGAGTACTTGGTAAGTAATTACCTTAGCAAGTTTGTCATAGGAATCAGCAGTCTTAGGAACCAAGTCAGCTAAGACATCTTCAGGCACATTCTCAACAAGCCATTTTGGCCAGCCACCCACAGTATCATCATCTCCTCCAATCTGCTTCAATGTAATCCTTCCTGAATGTGCATTGGGGATTGGGACCTTTGTTTTGTTCTTCATTGATGGTGGTGTGACTTATGGTACGAGAGGATGAAGTAGACTACGAAGCCAATATTCGATTTGGAGAACTAAAATGTAAATCAAGATAAGTTCAAGAACCATTGCTCCTAAAAAGCCCCAAAAAAGGAAACTACCTAAAATGACCATTTTGACTTTAAATTTAACGAAAAAAATGTAATAGATTATGATAGCATGACTTATGGACCAAATGTGAATCGAGTAGAAGTTGAGGGATAAAATAATAAGTGACAAATATGGATAAAATGTGTGAATCATATTTGTATTATTGCAAACTATTTGAAACAACATGTATTAGTCCTGAAAATATGTGAGTGCATATAATACGTGAACAATACGTATGCTTTTTTTCAAACATAAATACATTATAAGTTACATTCCCTTGGGATTTTAATACAATACACATCAGAGAAATCCAACGGAAAATTACAAAACCAAATATATTAGTTGATATAACTATGTCCTCTTTTTGCCAATTGATCAACTACCATCTCTATAAGTAGGGGTCATCATTTAGTCCACGGACAGCGGACTGAAGTGGCTAGGCCCACTTTAAGGTTGGGTAGGGCTTGGGCTTAGGATTTGAAACCCTCAACCCACTCGTATATGCCCTTCTTTGTTTAAAATTTAATTGATACACTCCATAACCTCATTTTGCACTCAAGAAACATAATGTAATATGTATTATAAACTAATAAACTTCTTATTTTGTTACACATTTTTATAAGTTAAAGTTAATTTTTTCAATGTTGTCTAAAATTTTGTAACAAACAAGCAATATATACACTATATCTTTTAGTACCCCTTTTTTGTCAAGTTCAAATTTAATGGTTCAATAAAGAATTGGAAAACTTATTTTGATTTTATTAATTCTAATGACACAAATTGCTTTAATTTTCATGATGTCAATCTTAGTTTGGGATAGAAGTAACACATTTTCTAAGATTCATTTTTAGGTATAATATTTTTAAAATATATTGGCTATTGATCTTAAGTTTAGTAAAAGAGTTTGGCAAATATTTTTGTTTTCTTATGTAATAATCTATACTACTGTTTAAAATAAGACTCTTTATCTATTACTTTTGACAAAAAAATGTGTAACAAAAAAATTTAAAAGACTTAGAAAAAATATTTTCCGGTCCGTTTAGGCCCATGGTGATCCGCCCGTTAAGCCCGTGTAGACCCATTCATTTTTGAAACCTAGGCCCAGTCCAAAAAATTTAAAAAGCCTGTAAAATCCGGTCCGAGAACAAAAATTTCTGGCCGGGCCACGAATCCCGTCTATAAAAAGAACAAATTCAAATTCGTGAACACGTGGGAGAACACGTGCTATAACACAAGCAATAGTACTGAAACTGAAAGTGAACAAAATTGTGCCTTTGTATCTCCCCAGCAGCAGCAGCAGCAGCAGCAGCAGCCACTCTAATTTTCGCGGCTTTTTTCAAATCTCTTCACTTAGCTACAAATTGAAGTTGGAGAAATTGTCCACTTCGCCGCTGCTCGACGTTCATCGAATTTGAACTGTTTTCAATTGAATTGCAGGTATGCCACAACTTGAATTCATTAAAGATTTAGGGTTTTTATTTTATTTTTTATCTTCTTTTGCAATTAGGCGCCATGTGCAGTGTTAAAAGATTATGAGTATGTAGCAATTTGGGGGATTTTTGGTGAATTGGGAGCCCATAAATCAAATTGAGGTTTGGGCTCAATACCCAGTTTTCTCGGCAATCAATACCATATAAAATTAAATGTTTTTTTTTGTTTTTTCAATTTCATGGTTTAATAAAACTTGATTCTATGCTTTTTGCCCAAGTCCCGGGCCGTGATTTTTTATATTATGAAATCGAAACTGGAAATTAGAAATTAGAAATTTTGAAATTTGATTGATCCATCCACTTAAATACCTTTTGGTGCTTCCCTGAGGAAGCTGTTTTATTTTCATGTAATAGGGTTGTTATATTTGATGCCTGTTAATATGGAAAAAGAAGATAAATTTGAAAAACTGTATTTTCTGTTGCCCTGAAATTAACAATAAAATAATGAAAAAAAAAGCTTCGTTGAGCTTAAGAAAATCCCACATTTTATTCCCATATCAACTTTATTGAAGGTGGCTGCAACTTCAAATGTTAGATCACAAATGATTTTGATGCACACAATCTGATGATCACAAATGATTTCTTAACCTTTTTAATCTCCTCTGCAGGATATGTCATTCTTGAAGCATATTTGGGGTGATGTTGTTGAGACAATTTTTGGTTTCAATCTCATGCATTTAGTGGTTTATCTCTACCAGGTATGAAGTAAAACCCAAAAACTTTTTTTATTTCTTCATTACATATGTTGAATTCTCAGAAAAATTGGACTTTGTGGATGTCGTTTCGATTGGCGGTACCATGTATGAAGTAAAACCCAAAAACTTTTTTTATTTCTTCATTACATATGTTGAATTCTCAGAAAAATTGGACTTTGTGGATGTCAAATTGTCACATCCAGGTATCGGCTCCGCCGTAGCACGATATTGTCCGCTTTGAGCCCCCCTTTCTGCCCTCACGGTTTTGTTTCTAGGAACTCACGAGCAACTTCTCAGTGAGTCACCCATTCTTGAATTGCTCTAGCCTCAACTCGCTTAACTTCGGAGTTCCCATGACTCTGAAGCCAGTGAGCTCCCAAAAGGCCTCGTGCTAGATGGAGGCAGGCATGTACATATAAGGCACATCACCCCCTTTTCGTTAAACGATGTGGGATGTTACAACCAAACCCAACGGCAAGCCACCATCCCCTCCTTATTGCTAACCAAGCTGATTTTTCAGAGGAAAAAAGGGGATCTTTAAATGAAGTTTGAGGACAAGAGAAAAGGGGAGTAGTTGGTGCATTGGGGATTGGGACCTTTGTTTTGTTCTTCATTGATGGTGGTGTGACTTATGGTACGAGAGGATGAAGTAGACTACGAAGCCAATATTCGATTTGGAGAACTAAAATGTAAATCAAGATAAGTTCAAGAACCACTGCTCCTAAAAAGCCCCAAAAAAGGAAACTACCTAAAATGACCATTTTGACTTTAAATTTAACAAAAAAAATGTAATAGATTATGATAGCATGACTTATGGACCAAATGTGAATCGAGTAGAAGTTGAGGGATAAAATAATAAGTGACAAATATGGATAAAATGTGTGAATCATATTTGTATTATTGCAAACTATTTGAAACAACATGTATTAGTCCTGAAAATATGTGAGTGCATATAATACGTGAACAATACGTATGCTTTTTTTCAAACATAAATACATTATAAGTTACATTCCCTTGGGATTTTAATACAATACACATCAGAGAAATCCAACGGAAAATTACAAAACCAAATATATTAGTTGATATAACTATGTCCTCTTTTTGCCAATTGATCAACTACCATCTCTATAAGTAGGGGTCATCATTTAGTCCACGGACAGCGGACTGAAGTGGCTAGGCCCACTTTAAGGTTGGGTAGGGCTTGGGCTTAGGATTTGAAACCCTCAACCCACTCGTATATGCCCTTCTTTGTTTAAAATTTAATTGATACACTCCATAACCTCATTTTGCACTCAAGAAACATAATGTAATATGTATGATAAACTAATAAACTTCTTATTTTGTTACACATTTTTATAAGTTAAAGTTAATTTTTTCAATGTTGTCTAAAATTTTGTAACAAACAAGCAATATATACACTATATCTTTTAGTACCCCTTTTTTGTCAAGTTCAAATTTAATGGTTCAATAAAGAATTGGAAAACTTATTTTGATTTTATTAATTCTAATGACACAAATTGCTTTAATTTTCATGATGTCAATCTTAGTTTGGGATAGAAGTAACACATTTTCTAAGATTCATTTTTAGGTATAATATTTTTAAAATATATTGGCTATTGATCTTAAGTTTAGTAAAAGAGTTTGGCAAATATTTTTGTTTTCTTATGTAATAATCTATACTACTGTTTAAAATAAGACTCTTTATCTATTACTTTTGACAAAAAAATGTGTAACAAAAAAATTTAAAAGACTTAGAAAAAATATTTTCCGGTCCGTTTAGGCCCATGGTGATCCGCCCGTTAAGCCCGTGTAGACCCATTCATTTTTGAAACCTAGGCCCAGTCCAAAAAATTTAAAAAGCCTGTAAAATCCGGTCCGAGAACAAAAATTTCTGGCCGGGCCACGAATCCCGTCTATAAAAAGAACAAATTCAAATTCGTGAACACGTGGGAGAACACGTGCTATAACACAAGCAATAGTACTGAAACTGAAAGTGAACAAAATTGTGCCTTTGTATCTCCCCAGCAGCAGCAGCAGCAGCAGCAGCAGCCACTCTAATTTTCGCGGCTTTTTTCAAATCTCTTCACTTAGCTACAAATTGAAGTTGGAGAAATTGTCCACTTCGCCGCTGCTCGACGTTCATCGAATTTGAACTGTTTTCAATTGAATTGCAGGTATGCCACAACTTGAATTCATTAAAGATTTAGGGTTTTTATTTTATTTTTTATCTTCTTTTGCAATTAGGCGCCATGTGCAGTGTTAAAAGATTATGAGTATGTAGCAATTTGGGGGATTTTTGGTGAATTGGGAGCCCATAAATCAAATTGAGGTTTGGGCTCAATACCCAGTTTTCTCGGCAATCAATACCATATAAAATTAAATGTTTTTTTTTGTTTTTTCAATTTCATGGTTTAATAAAACTTGATTCTATGCTTTTTGCCCAAGTCCCGGGCCGTGATTTTTTATATTATGAAATCGAAACTGGAAATTAGAAATTAGAAATTTTGAAATTTGATTGATCCATCCACTTAAATACCTTTTGGTGCTTCCCTGAGGAAGCTGTTTTATTTTCATGTAATAGGGTTGTTATATTTGATGCCTGTTAATATGGAAAAAGAAGATAAATTTGAAAAACTGTATTTTCTGTTGCCCTGAAATTAACAATAAAATAATGAAAAAAAAAGCTTCGTTGAGCTTAAGAAAATCCCACATTTTATTCCCATATCAACTTTATTGAAGGTGGCTGCAACTTCAAATGTTAGATCACAAATGATTTTGATGCACACAATCTGATGATCACAAATGATTTCTTAACCTTTTTAATCTCCTCTGCAGGATATGTCATTCTTGAAGCATATTTGGGGTGATGTTGTTGAGACAATTTTTGGTTTCAATCTCATGCATTTAGTGGTTTATCTCTACCAGGTATGAAGTAAAACCCAAAAACTTTTTTTATTTCTTCATTACATATGTTGAATTCTCAGAAAAATTGGACTTTGTGGATGTCGTTTCGATTGGCGGCTGCGAATGGATTAATACTGTGATAAGCTTTATATAATTTCTGGATTGCATACCTGGTATGGTGGGAAAATTTAACGTGGCCATATTACAAATAGTTGAAGAACAAATGTTGAGTATAGTTGTTAGGCCAGAAGTAGGGTAGAAGTACACATAGGATGAAATTGTCATTTAAAGATTAGGACAAGAGAAGCTTCAGATGTCCAGCTAGGGGGTGGATGGAGTTCACCATCTCAAGTTTTCTACGTTGCAAGGATGCTAATGTATTTTTGGAATGTTTTCCCTTGAATTGTAATGAGTTTTTCCCAATTTCTTTTTTATGTAAACAGCCTCGTTGTCGTCAAAGTCCAAGTTGTAATATGACCATGAGTTTTCCTCTACTTCATGACTCAGTGACTCACCAAGGCCCAAAAAAGGCTTTATTATGGTTAGTCTTTCTCTAATCAATCTTTTATAAAAGTCTCCACATTTATCTCATCTATCTCATTAAGGGCCACCTTTTTTTGGCTACGTGCACCAATTTTCCTACATAAAATGGGTTATGTAGACTAATGTTTTTTCTTTCTCTCTCAGAACTCCTAAAATAGAATGTCATGCACGCAAACTTTGTTCCAAACAACATCAAAGATAGCAGCCCTGGCAAGGTCCGGCCAGATAACATGTGCTCGTAAGCTGTTCGACGAAATGCCCCACAGAGACTCGGTCGCTTGGAATGCAATGCTTACCAGCTATACCCACCTTGGTTCTCACCAAGAAGCCCGTGAGTGCATATAATACGTGAACAATACGTATGCTTTTTTTCAAACATAAATACATTATAAGTTACATTCCCTTGGGATTTTAATACAATACACATCAGAGAAATCCAACGGAAAATTACAAAACCAAATATATTAGTTGATATAACTATGTCCTCTTTTTGCCAATTGATGTTTTGGGTTACCAGTCTTACTTGCCAGTTAATAATTCGCTTATTGATATGTATGGGAAGTGTTTGGATCCCTCTAGTGCTAGGAGAGTGTTTGAAGAGATGAAACTAAGGAATGAAGTAACTTGGTGTTCTTTTTTATTTGCGCAAACAAACTCTAGTCAGTTTGATGTTGCACGTCATGTGTTTTCTATGATGCCGAGAAGGGTGGAGATAGCTTGGAATATTATGATTGTGGGTTATGCACGGTATGGGGAAGTGGACTCTTGTTTGGATTTGTTGAAAGAGATGAAAGAGAGTTTGTGTCGGCCGGATCAGTGGACTTTCAGTGCTCTGATGAATGCTTGCGCTGAAGCATTAGAATTTTGGCATGGTTGCATGGTGCATGCTCTTACTATTAAAAGTGGTTGGAGTTCTGCTGCGGAGGTAAAGAACTCAGTTTTAAGTTTCTATGCTGAACTAGGCTTCCATGGCAGTGCAGTTAAGATTTTTGAGTCCACTGGAATCCTAACACAAGTATCCTGGAATGCCATGATTGATACCTACATGAAACAGGGGAATACCCACGAAGCTCTTCTTGTATTTCAGCGAGCCCCTGAAAAGAATATTGTCTCATGGACATCTATGATCTCAGGGTATGCAGGAAATGGACATGGGGACGAAGCTGCCAAATTCTTTGTGGATATGGTAAGAAGTGGTGTCCAACCAGATGATTTCACATTCGGAGCTGTCCTTTATGCATGTTCAAGCTTGGCGGTACTTGGACATGGTAAAATGGTCCATGGTATCATACTTCATTATGGCTTCCATGCTTATGTCTTTATTGGGAATGGCTTAGTTAACATGTATGCTAAATGTGGGGATTTACAAGGGTCAGTCCGTGCGTTCAGTGATATTTTACAGAAGGATCTGGTATCTTGGAATGCTATGTTGTTTGCATTTGGGTTGCATGGGCAAGCTATCCAAGCTCTACAGGTTTTTAAGGAGATGGTAGAAAATGGAGTAAAACCAGATAATGTGACCTTCATTGGCCTGTTGATGACTTGCAGCCATAATGGGCTTATAGAGGAAAGTCGCATGCTTTTTGAAACCATGGGGTCAGTTTATGGGATTTCTCCTGAAATGGAGCATGTGGCATGCATGGTGGATATGCTCGGCAGAAGTGGTTACTTAGCAGAAGCGAAAGAGCTGGTTGATGAGTATTCAGAAGTAGGTAGTGCTGAGACCAGCTCATGTGAAGCTCTACTTGGTGCTTGCTCCGCACAGGGGGACGTAGGATTTGGAAGAAAATTGGGCGAAAGTCTGAAGATATTAGAACCACATAAAGAGACGAGCTATGTGTTGCTGTCTAATTTGTATTGTGCAAGTGGGCAATGGAAGGAAGCAGAAATGGTTAGGGAGATGATGGTTGATCAAGGGGTGAAGAAAATGCCTGGTTGTAGTTGGATTGAAGTGAGAAACAAGGTAACAGCTTTTGTAGCTGGGAAGCATTCTAATCCATGCATGAATGAGTTATGTAATATATTACATTTCATTAATTTTGAAATGAGGAATCCATGCTTTGGTGACATTGATAATTGAAAGAAATTTACATATCTCGAAAGGTTCTTCATACTATTGAAGATGGATAAATTTTGAGAAAGATATGACGTCAAATTTGAATTGTTTAGGGATTTTAGTTTTTAGTATTAAATGGATGACATCTATACGTGGGATGAAAATGTCAAGTCAAAAAATACAGTAAAATTAATATTGAGCGGTTTTCAAATAGGCCAAACCAAGATGAACCAAAATAATTGTGATTTGTTTCGGCTTTGTTTTAAATTATACTTTCTTAATATAAAAACTGACCCAAGCTGCTCGTATTGATTTCGAAAGTTTGAACGAGTCGGATAGTTGTCTGCCCAGAATTTTTAAAGTTCAAGTTCTTTTTTCAATCGCTTCAAAACCAAAAAGAATTTATCACTACTAATGATGCATTCCAATTCCTGAACTTCCATGTGTTTACTTATACATAAGTAATAAAAAATTATATAGATATCCGTAATCTAACACTCTCCGAACCAATAGTTGATTCAATTCCAATTCCTTAATTCTCATATTCACGACTTCTTCTGTTCCTAGTAAATAAATATACCCTTTTAAGTTAATTTGAATTGGAGTAAAGAGAAGATGGATTTTATTGTAAGTATTTATTTCTTGGACAGGAATTCTCTTTTCCTTTTCTTTTTCCTGAGAGATACTGAAAAATATCTACATTTTTCAAAAGGTGAAAAACATACCTATGTGTCATTATTCTTTTCGGAATTTGATGTATTTCACTTTTTGGAAGTACACGTACGTATCAAAGCCTTTCATTTTTTGTGTAAGAATACCTGCATTAATATTGCATCTACATGTATGTTTCTGTCTTCTTTACAAAAGAAAAAAAAAAAAAGAAAGTTATGCAAATCATTAATATGCTACAGAAATTAATCTAAGCAGCAGCCAGTTGATTTATTGATTCACTTGATATTAATATACGTTCTGATTTTCAGAAAGGAACTTTGTCTCCAACTAACTTGTTACTTAACAAATCCACTGATGCTTGCATTCTCACCAGTGATGAGCTTCTGGGAGACAGGCAGGCCAAGATCAAAGGGTCCCAGGGAGTCAGTCTGTACAAAAGCAAGCAGTAAAATAGAAAAAAATGAGCCATTTGCCATTTTGCAAAGTTGTCCCAAAAAAATTAATTATCACACTTGAACAAGAAATTCAAATATACCCATTTGATGCCCGACAGCCCAAGGCTTCTTTCGTCGTTGTTCATACGTGAACAAGCCACGAGATCTGTATCCGATTCTTGAAAGGCACGGTCTTGCGGAAGCCCAGCCACACTGTTAACCTGCTGCAATAGACATCAAACTACATGTTGTTTACTTGAACACCTTCAAAGCGCCTAAAAACAGCCTTATCATATGATCTTACACAACAGAATATGAAAATCAAGCATTCTACTGATGTTATAGCCTTATTGCAATCACCTATAATTTAGAAAGGTCTGGCAAACAGGTTAGTAATACATCAATAGATAAGATGTACACAGAGACCCTGGAGATTTTGAAGTCTTAGTCACATATAAATGTAAACGATGCAAGACATCCCTTCCACCATGGAGTATTTCAACAATGATAGGAGCCAATTGATTTTAAAACATGAATCCAGATTTAAGCAATATATCACTCAATTGCAATAACATAATGAAAGTATGGATATAATTCACCAAACCTTGGTTGCATTAGGGAACTTGAATACTTTGGAAGCAGCATTCTGACTGAAACCTCCACAACTTCCACCAAATCCCAGAACATCCTTTCCCGAGGAAGAGAACGTTTGAAAAGGAAATGCATGACAAGTTTCTTCAGCATCCAAAATAGATAAGCATGAGTCATGAGTGGATGGCCCTGGACCTCGAGGGCTATTTATTCGGGTGGCAGCAAAACCTTGGTGTGAATCAGAAATTAGATGAGTTGGTGGCAAGCCTGCATTGCTCGCAGTTGATTGTTCATCAATTCGGTTGAGCTTTCCCTGTAAGGATGCTTCAGAGAGGAGGCCACCAATGCTTATAGATGGACAATCAGCCCACAACGCATATGATTTTGAATCACTCTTTAGTTCAGTGGGATGAAAGCCTTCATCTTTCCCAATTTGTTTTTTATCACTGTTATTGCACTTAGCCCGTAAAGATGCTTCAGAAAGTAGGCCTTCAATGCTTACACTGTCAACCAAAAGTGGTGACTGAGCATGGTTGCTATCCATCCTCTGACTATCACCCTAATTACAATAAGAGCAAATTTCAGAAGATCATTAAAATTCATGAAAGAAAAATGTTGCAAAAATCTCTAAATAAAACTCACATTATTGTAGTAACTTAAGTGCAAAACAAATATTCCAAGTCCAAAATGCTCAACAGAACAAATTTTCCATGTCTGCTTTTAGATTTTTTACAAAAAAGGATTGAATAATTATCAAAACTTGTATTCTAAATCCAACATTTCGTCCCAGCCTAAATGAAAATTCACTTGAAATTCATTATCACCAGAATATTTAAGAAAAATTCAAACTCACCTTAGTAATTTTTAAAAGCTTACCCCATAAAATATGTGTGTGCGTACATGTGAAAAAAGAACGACCAAACAAACAGAGAAGTAAGCAGCTTTTTACCTTAAGATAAACAGCTCCAGTAGAAATCTTCTCAGTATCTGCATTTATTGTTTCACTTGCATTGATTGATCTGAAATCTTTTCTTGGTAACCCAGTGTGTTTCCCTACTTCATCATATGAATTCTCTGTGGCAGCCCTGGAATATCTCTGCGCTCCTTCAGATTGTAAGTCAACCTTGTCATTAGCTGATGTAGAAGGTTCAGCAGGGGTTTTAGGTTCAGTGGAGAACCAGCCATACCTCAAGAAACATATCAAGTCAGATAAATAAATTAAATTGTATACTCCATTCAAGTAAGAGAAATGAGTAAGCCTTATACCTTAAGCGAAAAACTTCAGGGCTTCCAATAGCTGCATAGATAGCTCCCGCACTAATGTCACCATCATTCAGTGTCCATCGTCTGTTACTAGACATACTGTCCTGTATCTTATATGGGAATAGAGCTGGCTCACCAAGAGCAACACTTGAACTGCCCCACTTGCCATTAAGGTGCTTTAGCACAGAAGAAATCTTCTTCCGTGCTCTAAGAATGAGTTCTAAATATGGATGATGTCCATCCTAAAATGAAATGAAATAAAACAAAATGAAACTTAGAAATTAAAGTGACAAAATGTTATGCTGCAAATATATAATGCTGTTCTAAATTTTCAAAGCTTCATGATTTATGAACAACCTTTTCCAATCCTATGCGGGTGCCTTCATTTACAGGGAAAAGCTGCAACTTGATCTTTGAATGAGGAAGAAGTGTTTGCCCTTGACAAAAATCAATAACAGGCAGCATCTTTGTTGTTTCTGAAGATTGCACACCTCTGTCCGGAAGCTCCAGACACATACCATCAGCTGCACTGTAAGGTGATAAAGACTCATCTTTTTCAACCAAGAAATTGCCACATTTCCCTAAGAAAGATAAGATGAAATTAACTAAAAGGAATGCCCAAGAAAACTGCAACTGAAAGTGCAATACGCATAACAGCACAAGAAAATGAACAGGCTAATCAAGTCAAAGGAGATTTTTATAGATTTATTTGCAAGTGGAATAGCATGTGGAAAATCTTCTAGATGAAAGAAAATACAAAAATTTATAATTCAAGTACTCAGATGAGATATCCTACCCGTTGCTTTGTGGCTGTGCCGAGTAGTTCTCCTTGTAGATTTCTGTTCTCTCATGCTACTTCCTATACCTCCCCTGCACTCTATAGGAACCTTGATCACCTTCTTGTTTGTTTGTCTAGAAGCTTTCATGATGTTTTGGCTTTACCGTTAGCCAACTGTCACACACACTTCGTCCTTCTCACAAGTGAAACAAGAATGCAGTATGTCAGGCTTCAACAACATTGGATATTAAGAATGAGCTAATTTACTTAAGGAACACAATAATGGCTTGCTTAAAATTTGTTTGGAACCATGGTGAGAGGCCAATAAAACCATGGCGAGAGGCCAATAAATAGTTAATTGGTGTGATCACAAGAACAGATAATGGCTACACTGCCCTTTCTCACAGATATTATCCTCAATGTTTCCTACAAGTTTCTACCCAAAACATAGTTTTTGTAAGAAACACAAAACATCCTCCTTCCCACAACCTGCGCAAAAACAAAACCTAAGACACAAATTACCAGCCAACTAAAATTTTGCACCACACAAATCTTTGCTCTCTGAGATCCAACTGTTCCAAATCGACAATCCGATTTTGAAAATTTTAGAATTCTCCAAATTAAACAAAAAACTTCACTGAGCCTCAAGACCCCAAAAAAACTAAACTAAATGGGTTTTTTCCTCTTACTCTTTGAGAGTTTGAGATTTAATCTTTGAAGCTCAACAACTAAGCTGATAATAACAAATATCATATTTAAACAAAACTTTCCAAGATTTACCAGCTATAAACCAAACCCCAAGTCACAAATTTTAATCTTCCGTATACACTACCTGAACTCATTGACTTATTCTTCTTCCTTTGTTTTTGGTGTAAATATATTCTCTATATGGTCTTGAACAACCAATGCTCAGAAATCAGTCATTTGATTCAACCTCCGGTGAGCCTGGGTTGGAAGGACATGAATTGCATGTATGTATTTATGAGTATATATAATTATATATTCACTGATTCCGGTAATTCTAGGAACTAGGGTTTCGAGCATCACCCATATAAACGAAATGAAGATAATTTCAACGATTTAGAATGAAATATTGTGCCCTAAAATCTCGTAATCCAATCCAAATCATAAACAAAAATCAATTGAATCTATAAATAAATATATAGCTCTTGGGCCGATTTATTTCACCAAAATTCAGGGAAGAGAGAAGAACTACAGAGTAGGCAAAGGAAAATTTCAACAACTTGATTGAATTTCTAGACATTACAACCGAAAATGTAAAGGGATATGAAGGCCTGCTGC